GGAACCCCATGGATTCCCCCCTGTCACATTGGAAACTTGCCTGAATGTTCTCCATTTCTCACGGACGGTGCATAAAGTTACGACTATAATTAGAATTATGAGGTGTGAATGCGTTATTTCAGATAGCACTGGCTGGTCGCGTCTATGCGCGAATTTAAACTCGTAAAAGCCGCGGTGAGCGAGCGCGACAGTTCAGCAATGTGTATCGAAGTTTTGACAGCGGCCGAATGGCAAAACGGCCGCTATAACGAAGAACAGCGGCGTTGTTTCGCGACGGTAATGGCCCGCGTTTAATGCACCATTAGAAGTTGTTAACTGTTGTTCCGAGGCCGCGCGCGTTTCGACGGCGCGCGACGCATCGCTCGACATTCCGCCGATTTATCGTTTGTCTAGAGAAAGGGTAATTAAACGCCCCTGGATTGGGCGAATTTCGGTGATCGTCCGCAGAATTTATTTTTTGTGATTCAGTGCACGCGCATGAACTTTGTCGATTACGGAAATCTTCCGGACAAATTTCATTGGTCTTCAACAAACGATTTAATAATACGTATCTTGATAATAATGTCTCGAGTCGAAATTCTGTCAAAGTCTACTTAAAATTGAGAAGCTTAACAAGATTTTGTCGTCAATTTTCGAATTCCTCTGTAATCGTCAAGGCACAGAAATTTAAGCGTCGACGACAGGCATTCTTAAGGAACAATTATTTCAGTTTCCGATAAGAAATATTGCAACGTGTACTCGTCATCAATCTCATTATCAATTATCGAGCGTCTTTGATATACGCGGTAATTGCGAATCGAATGAAATAATTTTCGACCGTGTTTGGAAATTGTTTTAAATCATCCTCTGGGTGATATTAGCCGGTTATAGAATTTAATTATCGGCAATGATGATAGTGTGTGTGTGTGTGTGTGTGTGTTCGGTTATAAGCAATAAAATATAAAATTATCAAATATTCAATAAAGCCGCGACACGCGTTATCGCATCCCATTCAGCTACTACTTCAAAATTGAAGAATATCGCGTTGGTTTTCCGCGCAATAATTGTTTCAGTTAAAACCCGATCAAATCTACGTTCAATCAATTTGAAAAAAAAATGCCATATCGTCGCGTCCGCGCATGCACATCGAGAGACAAAGACGTGCATTTATTTTTTTTATTTTAATATTACGTAATCTACCATTCAAACAAGCAAACAAAAACAATTACGGTCATAAAAATAATTCAACATAAAATCTGCGGAAACAGTTATGTATAAGTTATAACATTCAAGAGAAATTATAACGGCAGAGGAAAAACGCGAGGCTGTCCCGTAAATACTATAAATAAAAATGCGTAATTATTCGTTTTAATTGATACAACTATATGTCGAGAACTTCCTCTAAGTATAATCTCCAGAAGATTCTATCTGGCGGTCTTTAGTAACAAGAAAATTTATTAGTAATTTTATCAGCAGCCTGGATAATTAAGACATTATGCAGAAAAAAATTTGGTTGAATTTACCGGATAGTGAATGAAACAAACACGTTTTAGCTAAAGGAAACAGAATTTCTGGTTATAAAAACCAAATTTAGATTATAAGAATCAGAAATTTCGTTTCCTTCAATCAAAACGCGTTTGATTCGTTCACTGTCTGCTTAATTCAACGAAACGTTTATTCCACGTGTCATCTCAACTTTCCAGGTTAAGATGGTACTGTCATCTTAGTTGACTGTTCAGTGACTAGTGCAGACTGTTCATAAAGAACTTTTGTTAATAATTTTGTAATAAAGAAAGACCATATCAGCTGAAACTTGGCCAGAGGCTACCTAGGTGGTTGTTTTCCATAACATATGTCAAAGCCATCGTGTCCGTTAAAACAGATAATTACCTAAAAATGGCAATAAATTGAGTGGTAAATACGCAACTAAACCCTTTTTTTTATCTTGTCGAATCGTTTTTTCGCATTCGCAAGCGTATATGTATATTCGACGAAAAGGTGGGTCGCAACCGAGCGCTATCGCGGCGAAGTCCGTTCGAAAATTACATACGCAACGGTGATTACATGAAAAGTGCTTTATCGCAGTTGAATTCAACATAATTGAGGCGAATTTACTGCTCCGTTTTGCTCGAGCCGAACGGGCTGTCGATTTGTTCTATGATAAAGTACTGCGTAATTAGCGTTTTATTACAAAGCAGTTTCTCTGCCGCCACGAATTAAATTTAATGCGTCAACTTTGATGCGTGTCGGCAGTCGGCGTCGGGACTGCGATAAAGCGATATCGATTCGCCGCCAGAATCGCGCGTCGTGCGCCACGATTCTCAGCAAATATAATCCATTCATTTTAGAAATTACGCACCGGTCTCAAGTCACGTGATTAATTTCCAGCGCGAGTTAGCGAGGATCGGAGCGATCGAGTACGGTCAAATATACGGAACTCGACAATCTCGATCTTCCATCGCGCAGAAATGCCGCGCGTGACGGGCTAATCCAATCGAAGCTCCGATATATGCAATAACGTTTACTTGATCGTACGGGCATATATTAGTACGCATGTATATATGTAGCGTAAGTACATACTGCACGCGCGTGTCGACACTCAGCCGATCACGTAGCTTATTATATACACGAGAGAGAGAGAGAGAGAGAGAGAGAAAGAGGCTGATATTTCGCTTCGCTACGAAACATTGTTATCTGCAGTATAATCCTTCCTTGTCGTTACGTACACTCATACTTTCACAACAAGCAAACATCGATGTAAGTTTAAATTTCTCGCCCGTAAACAGACTTGCAGAAAGAACCTCTTCTGCTGTACTTACAAGATCGAAAAGAGGGTAACGTGAAAATCTGCGTTCGAGTCGCGTACCAAGATACATTTGATCGACAAATGAAACTTCGACTTTAACTTCATATTAAGATCGTATCTCTTTAATTCCCTTCACAGGGACAGATTAACGTCATTATGTGAGCCCTCGAGCCCTCTCGCGCTCCTTAGTAATTACCGCATTACGGGCAAACACGGGTTCTCATTAGAATTTTCGTCGCGTCCTTCCCACTTTTAAGCGTGCGCCGTAAAAATGTCTGATAAGCTTCTCTTGGGAGGTCGGAAGATTCGAGAGGGTCGCGCGACGCCATGAGGGGTGCACGTTCGTATTCTATTAATTTCAATCACATGCGAATAAAAGAAAGCAGACCTATGCACAGTGTCGTGCGAATCCACCGGTCGCAGCCAGCCTCTACCGGAGTCCGTGTTTCCTATGCGCATCCGAGAAGCATTGTGCCGCCGGGGCGTTTAACGTCGCTTTATATGGCGTCGAGCGAGATACGCGCTGCTCGTTTACCCCCCCCCCCCCCCCCCTCCTTCCCCCGGCGGTAGCAAGAATTTCACGGGACGCTTTTCACACACGCGGATATCTGTCCGCGCGATGAAATGAACGCGCGGAATGTGCTATATAAACGTCGCGTCGCGTCGCGCTCAAAGGAAACTGAAACTCCACGCGGAGCGACGGCAATAAAAGTACCGAGGAACTTCTCCGTCGTTCTCACTGTCGCGCGGCTCCACCAATTTGCTTTATCAGTTTCCTTCGCGTGAGATACACGATCGACTCGATCATTCATTTGCCGTACACCTAATTATACGTACGAGCTGTCGTGCTCAATTGCTGCCCGGGTGCAGGGCTCCATTGAAATGCGCGTCCCTTTGAGCGAAGATCGCCGCCGCACTCCGCAAAATAGCGACGTTAAGGGGTCATTCAACAATTACGTCACGTGAAATTTCAGTATTTCTTTACTCCCTTTCCCCTCCCCTCCCCCCTTCGTCACATTCTGTCACAAAGTATCTGGATATATATTCTCTCTTCTTATTTGTAAGGTATTATATTTATATTGCGTGACACGTGGATTACCTCCATCCGCCTCCATATTACGTTATTAAATATCTTTGGATTCAACACGAAAATAAGCACCGTCTACCGAGGACTTAACGTGACGTGGCTTTTACTCTTCTCCCCCCTCCCCTACCATTACAGCTATCACGAAATAGAACCCTCCTCCCCCCTCGTGGTGCGACATAATTGTTTAATGACCTCTTAATGTCATAGCGTGACTTTCCGACAGAGGCGACAATTTTCTTTTTTCCTTTTTTATTGCATAGATATTTTTCAGTTACGGTTCGCTGCCTTCGAACGGCGGCAACGTCAAAACGTTATATCTGAAATTCGGCGTTTTTATTTTTCCAGGCAGCGCCTCGATTGTGCCGATTTCAATAGATATGCCCGTAAAACAGTGGCAACAATGGCTCTTCGGTATGACTGTAACTATTTCCCGAAAACAACGGACGGGGGCAGGGGGGAGGGGGGTGTGCGTCGTTATCTCGTCGCCGAAGTATTCTCATCAGTCGCGAGTATTTTCATCGTCATGAAATTACACTAACGATCGGGTTAACCCGAAAGTGGGCGTACGTGAACCGGGATGGCAACGAAATGTACGGTGAAATCGTCGTGCCGTGCTGAGCGTCGATCGTTCGCCGCTACGACATCGCCGGCATGACATCGTCCTGATGCTACGATCGATCGATTGCGGAGTCGCGGGACAGGAGCGGGAAGGGGTAACGCGGTCCGCAATTAGCAATTAAAATCGGCGAGCTCGCCGATTGATTGGACCCGCATGATACCCCGCGGGCCAATCGACTAGCCGATCATAATTACCGGCGCTAATTGCGCGATAGGCATGGCCGCGCGACGTGTGATTAGTGTTCTATTTTTCCATCGCGCGCTTTCACGCTGCGATCGCGTTCGCTGGAACAACGAAGCGCGCGTGCGCGCGAATTCGTTGAGATGTCATCGTCTCGCGGAAATCGTGGAATCCAATCGTTACCGTCCGCGGTTTGAGGAATATCGCGCGACTCCCAGACGTGATTCCGCGATTCAGCCCGCGTATTCGTCGCGAGTTTCGGGCCGATCTCGAGTTTTAGCACATAGTGCACATCGCGCGAAAACGGAGGAAAAGGAGACGGCACTCACGTCGTTCTGGGCGAAGGTCGGCGTGATCGGTCCATCGCTGGCTTCCCATTTGTCCGCGATGCGAATCGTCTCCGCCGTCTTCTGCTGCACCGACTTGGACTCGTCGAGCAGCGTCAGCTCGTAAAACTCCTGGATATCTGCAACAGAAAGAGGGAAAAGATGTGTTACTATATATGCGCCGGCATGCTCGTGCATCCGCGGATGAAATCTCCGGCGACTTGGCCGATTTTTCCGGGGGATTTCGTTCCACCGGGGTTCGGCTTTTCGCCGCGTGCAAACGTCGTGATAAATCGACACTCCTCGATTGGACTCGATTTGCGAGCCACCCCGGTACACACCGGGCACATCGAGGAACGTCAGAGGAATATAACCGGGGAAACAATCCGCTCGAATATCATATTGTACGGCGGATAATAGAGCCCGCGCTTCGATTGGGCTCCCCGCTGCAACGATACGGCGACACGCCGTTAACCACCGTTGCGCAAGCCGATTCCGCGGTAATAGTGTAATCGTCGTCATAAAAACGCCATTGGAACGAGGCACGCAGTCGGTCGTTGGTCGGACGAGAGCGAGTCTTCGATCGCAGCTTTCGCATACTCGCCGACGATTTTCACGATCACCGGGACGTGATGGTGAAGCGGCGCGATAAGACGGCCACATAATTTTCAATGTAGCTCTCCGAGGGAGCGTTCCGCGCTCCTCGATCGCGCGTAACTCGAGTAGACCCTTGAGCGTCGCGACGCTGCGCCGGAATATATATCACCGACGCCGGGTACGCGTCGGGAGCAGGTCGAAGGAGCCCGTAACTCCTTGGCAGCGCGCTCGCCCGGCACGACGTTGCGAATGGGTCGGGCTGGCTCGTGACAACGCGAGCTTCCGGAGCGACCGTCTGAAATTTTCCAAAAGTCCGTCCTCACCGCAGGTTCATACGCCGCGTTCTCTCAGGACACGAGCGGTGAAAACTCACCCGAAAGCGCGAAGGAACGTGAGAAACACCGCAGGCAGCTACGGCTGGAATCGTCTTTTCTTAATCGTCGTATGCACGTGAGTCTCGTACGCACACGATGCTTGTTACGTGTTTATCGCGCGAGTTGCCCCGGAAGTACGACGGCGATGAAGTAATTTGTGAGAATGTCGCTTGAAAAAACGGCGAAACACAGCTCGCGTTCACACGGGAATCCGCGTTCGGCGGACAGATGCGGGGAGAATAAAACACGCGGCGAAGTCACGTATCGTTGCGGCTGAAGTTTATATTTTGTTCTACAACGCGTGAAAAGAAGACGGTGAATAAATGATTTCTTCGTGTGCCGATAAGGAAATAGATGATGTAACGTAGACGAAGGGAGCATTCACATTAGATGTCTGACTGGAGATTCTTGATTACAGTTAACCTAACTAACCCATTTAGAAAACAACAACGATGCGAAAAGCATCGGACAGCATTTCAACATTGACGTGAAATAACAGGTATCCATATAACTAACAGGCCGGTTTTCTGTAATTCCACGGATGCGAAACCATTCTGCTAACTGAAGCAGGAATTTTCGCGAATATACTTGTACAACGCGAGAGATTTGTCGAGTCGAAATTTCGGTTCTACGAACTTCGTAAGTTCCGTCGAACTTGCACGATCAATAGAGAGACTCTACGGGTAAAACAGTATCATTATCATTATTCAGACCTTTGGATCAATGTCCTCCGTCCGCGCTTCCCGATACATCATCCTGGCTCCTGGCTGTTCCTCCGTGGCACTGACATTCGTGTAAACACGACTCGATCGAGAAAGAACGCGTTGGTATTAAATAACGCGACGTCGACGAGAGAGACCGATTCGATATTTCAAGAGCCGACGAAATATTCTACTCACGGCGAGAATAACGATTATGGGCACACGCGTAATCTATGGCACGAATATGTCGTTCGCCGGCTCGATCGAAAACATTCGGACATACGCACGATGCACAGTGAAAAACCGGTCCGTCTCAAAGATTCGGAATGTCCTTGTAGTACCGATTGTTATAATCTCTCGGTCGCTCAGCGAACTACGTAGACTTGACAACGACGAGCGATGGAACTTTCGCCTGCTGTGTTTACTTCCACGTCGCGTTCTCCGTGAACCGAGTGAGTCGCGTGACGTCACAACGAGCGAGCGGCGCTCCCCTACGGAGACATCGGAAACGAACCGTTAGTTACGATTCCCGTCGGGTGCTTGACAGATTTCGTCGCTCTTGAAATATTCATTCCCGCTCTTTCGTCGGCATCGCGTTCATTAATACGCGTTTTTCCAATTGAATCGCATCTGACGCAAGTGACGATATCTGTGTTACGACGGAGCAGATAGAAGCCAGAGACGACGCAAAGCTGAAACGAAAAGCAAAGATGGAGAACACAAATTGCCGGGGTGCGGGGGTTGGAGCGTGAAATGCCGGGACAAAGGACGCTGAGGCACTATGGCCGGCGATACATTATATATTTCCAGGTGAGTCACAAATCGCTTATTATACAGATTTCCGACTTCAATAGACATTTGATGAACTTGTCGGATATAAGGAAAATTTGATGTCCGAATTGAAATTAAAGCTGACATTCATAGTTATCCTTAGAAATCAACAAAAAACGCAGCAGCGCTGTGACGTCAATAATTTAGTTTAATCTTTGATTACTCATCAACTTGTAGCTATACTCATTTTATGCGAGAAATATTAAACAGTTGAATAACGAGCTGTGAACACGAACCTCGAATTAATTATACTGATATTTCAGGTTTCCGCGGTGTAGAGAAACGTTTAATTTGACTTCCAAGTTAGCTGTATCCTTCATGGATTTATTCATGAAGCGTCGAGAATAAATCTATGAAGGAAGCGGCAATAACTCGGAAGCCAGCGTAAGCAATTAATTATGTCCTCAATCGATAATCGTAAATAATTTACAACTGTGTACCGGCTTCTTTTATCGTATTATCGAATACGAAACTGTCGTTTTTGATTTTATGGTTTATTCCTTTTCACCACTTTTGAATCTCCATATTCTATCGATATTTCCAACTTCACTCACAAAGATAATTATAAAAGGATTGATATAAAAAGAAGTTATTCCTTTATTTATAAATAATCATATTACTTATCATATTAATTATCTCTTATATCCATTATTACCTCACATATTCTGTCTGCAATTAAGTTATTTAATTCATATTATTTACTGAAATTACAAATAAAGATCAAATACAGATAAAATATTGAGATAATCGAATATCAAATAATTGTGAAGTAGATTTTTCTTTAAGATTCAATATGAACAGAAACGACAATAAATATTAATAATATCAAGGTAAGATAGTAACTTGTACAATATTATTTCTAGAGATGCTGCATTGACTCTCCAAGTTCGATGGAATTTGCAGGATTAATGTAGAACCAAAATTTTAACTTGGGTCGACTCTTTGACGTGAGGCGACTGACTGACTTTCAACCATCTAAAGCACGACGATCCACGTCTATAAATATGAACATAGTTTGGTTTACAAATTTATATATATATGTCCTACATTATATAATGTATTCTAACTATTACAAACACATGCCACTCTGATATATAGAGTATCCTAGAATGAATAAGTTTCACGAGCACGTAGAACGGATGAAGATTAACAAAAAGTCCTGTACCATTTTGTAAATAACATGCAAAATTTCGAGTTATTAATTATTAAAGATGGCCATGTACAGGGGCTTGATTAATGACTCAATAATAATTAATAACTCAAAAATTTGCGTATTATTTGCAAAATAGTAAAAGATTTTTCGTTCAGAGAAGCCTAATCTATAAGTTTATGACAGCCGTTGTACTTAGCGGCAGGTTCAAGGTTCAATATACTGATGTTTGTCGCTAGATACAACAGATGTGATATACTTGTAGATTAGGCCACTCTGAACGAAAAAATTTTTTTACAAATACTATTTTGCAAATAACACGCAAATTTTTGAGTTATTAGTTAAACAAGCCCTTGGTCATGGCCAATAATTAATAATTCGAAATTTTGCATGTTGTTTACAAAATGGTAGGGAAATTTTTTGGTTCACAATTCATTCTATATGCTCATGAAATTTGTCCATTGAGTTCTGGAACATCCTGTATGTACAGCCTCGTTAAAGTAATAATATAATATCAAATAGATTACTATATGAAAATACTACCGACCACACTGATCTTCTCTACTATCGCGGACAACTCGAGAACAGGAAACTATACGGTCTTTTATTTTTTACCGTCGTATTCACCACTGAAAATATATTCTCGGAAAACATTCCCGTATCGTTCCCGACGCCAAAGTTATTGGAATCCCCCCATTAGTAGCATCGGTTCTGAATACCTTCGAAGAAAAACCGATATTTTCCGACCGCGCTCGCCGTAGGGGCGTAAATCGCGGTCGGAGGAATGTTGATATATCGCGAACTTTTGCAACTTAATTGCTTTAGCGCGGTACAGATAACGGAAACTCGGCGTAAATTTACACAGAACCGTCCAATCTTCCTGCCGGCCGGGAGCGGTTTTCGTTTTAACATTTTCTACGTTCGTGGGGTTTAATTTTTGTCCCGCGAACCGCATAATACCTTCGTGTTAAAGTAATTTACCGGCGTAACTCGTAATTTTCTGCGCTCTTATTGTTGCGAACGTTACTCTTTATTTCTTCCTCGGGTGAGCGAGTGTCTTGCGCCGAGCTGTTAATGAATTGAAATTACGGTTAGTGCTTTGAGGCATCAGCCCCGAGAGCATCACGTATTAATTGCTCCCGCGTGAGCAATTCCTAAAGGTAATTCCCAAGTTACATCATTACACCACCTGTGTGTTTCGTGCAATACCAGACTCCCTGTAATTACGCTCGTTAGTCGGTCAAGCGGGCTAAGTTTGCCGTCCTTCCTGCCAAGATAATGCGGCTGCTTCCAACTCTCGGAAAAACGATATCTTTTCTCCCACGCCTTACACAGCGATTAAAGTAGTCTATTATCGGCATTTACACGCAGTGATCTGTAACGATATCGCGCGACTCCCCAAGGCAGCTTTGTTATTCTTTTTACTTTACTTACTTTAACAATGCACTCAAACACGGTAAAGCGAAATATTTTCTTTGATATTATCC